TTATGGGAGAGTGGTCCGAGGCCGTGGGAGGCAAGATGGCCGACCGACGCCATGTTCGCGGGGGAGGCCGCTTGGGATCCTGAGGCCGCTGGGGAGAAATAGCCAGGTATGGTCCGCCGGGTGGCCCTCTTGTTTGATCGGCGGGATTTCCGGGTGCCAACCATGTAGGTTACTGTGCGGTAGCTGCAGGCAGTTAGCTGTATTGGGTATACTCGGGAGCAGAGTTCAGTATTCGCGTGTCTCTACGGCTCCAATGCTAGGCCACGCCCAGATACCTTTGTTTTTAAGGTTCTAAAAAAACTATTAGGTAGGGCAATAGGGACCATCTGGTATAAAAATATACACTTCAGTAAGATATTCATTTTAACTACATTTATTCTACCGATCCATGAATGATATAATGCGGTCCATTGTTGCAAATCCTTCTTGATATCATTTAAAAGGGGAATATAATTATACTTAAAGAGGTCCTGCTGATGAGGAGTTAGATTAATCTTAGATTATATATATCTATTCAACTCCTGCCGAGAGGTTTCTTAGCGCTGTAAGGTTTTATTGAAAAATATTTATATGTACGTCTAGAGTGCAATGTTTTTATATAGGATGACATGGTATACATATACAGTGCATTCAGAAAGTATTTAGACCACCTTCACTTTTTTCAATTCTATGTTGCAGCCTGATACAGTTGTTTAAATTCTTTTTTTTCCCCTCATTAATCTAAACATCATGACAAAGTGAAAACAGAATTTTAGAAATGTCTGTGAATGTATTAAAAAGAAAATAACTGAAATATCACATGTACTTAAGTATTCAGACCCTTTACTCAGTACTTTGTTGAAGCACCTTTGGCAGCAATTACAGCCTTGAGTCTTTTTTTGTATGACGTGACAAGCTTTGCACACCTGGATTGGGGGATTTTCTGCCATTCTTCTTCGCAAATCCTCTCAAGCTCAGTGAGGTTGGATGGGGACTGTCGGTGGACAGCCGTTTTCAGGTCTCTACAGAGATGTTCCATAGGGTTCAAGTCAGGGCTCTCTCTAGGACATTCACAGAGTTGTACCTAAGCCACTCCTGTGTGCTTAGGTTGTCATGTTGGAAGGTGAGCCTTCGGCCCAGTATGAGGTCATGAGCACTGTGGAGCAGGTTTTAATTGAGGATATCTCTGTAATTTGCTCCATTCAGCTTTCTCTCAACCCTGACCAGTCTCCCAGTCCCTGCTGCTGAAAAATACCCCCACAGAATGCTGCTGCCACTGCCATGCTTCACTGTTGGGATTGTATTGGGCAGGTGATGAGTGGTGCCTGGTTTCTTCCAGACATAACGTTTAGAATTGAGAACAAACAGGTGCTTTTTTGCAAACTCCAAGTGAGCTTTCATGTGTTTTGCACTAAGGAGAAGCTTCCGTCTAGCCAATCTGCTATAAAAAAAACATATCGGTGGAGGGCTGCAGTGATGGTTGTCCTTCTGTAACTTTGTCCCATCTCCACACAGGATCTCTGGAGCTCAGTCAGAGTGACCATCAGGTTCTTGGTCACCACCTTACTAAGGCCCTTCTCCCTCGATCGCTCAGTTTTGCCGGGCAACAAGCTCTTGGTCTTCCTAGTTGTGACAATTTTTTTCCATTTGAGAATTATGGAAGCCACTGTGCTCTTGGGAACCTTCAGTGCAGCAGAATTTTTTTGTAGCCTTCTCCAGATCGGTGCCTTGCAATAATCCGGTCTCTGAGCTCTGTAGTCAGTTCCTTTGACCTCATGGCTTTTGCTCAGATACAGCATGCATTGTCAGCTGTGAGGCCTTCTATAGAGAGGTGTGTGCCTTTCCACATCATGTCCAATAAATTTAATTTACCACAGGTGGACTCCAATAAAGTTGTAGAAACATCTCAGCAACGATCAAGAGAAATGGGAGGCATTTGAGCTAGATTTCAAGTGTTGTTGCAAAGGGTCTCAATACTCATGCCATTGTGAAATTTCAGTTTTTCCTTTTTCATACATTTGCAAACATTTCTAAAATTCTGTTTTCACGTTTTCATTATTGGGTACTAAGTGTAGATTATTGAGGGAAAAAAAGAATTTAAACTACCGTAATATCAGGCTGCAACATAACAAAATTAAAAAAAATACTTTCTGAATGCACTGTATATGAATTAATATTAATGTACATTGTGTTATGATTTCATGATCGTTTTTAGATTAAGTCAAGACTGTGGTATCAGGCTGATCCTCTGGAGTGTGCTCTGCTACAATGCTGACTTTTGATAAAAGAAGGTAGAAGATAGAATGATTAATGATTACTGAAAGTTTGATATATTTATTTTTTAGCAGAAGTTATTTAGGAGATCTTGAGCTATGCAGTCTGATTTACACCTGTGAAGGGGGAAAATCAGTACATAAATTTGATCCCTTCAGGATTGACTACCTCTATGAGTAAGCCAGAATGGGGAAGAGCGTTAGTGTTTGAGCACACATGGGGAGGAACAAACAGATTATATTTGCTCCATAAAGATTTTTTAAAATCTTCGGTAAAGACCCTTGGAGTGCAAGGATTTCTGTATTGGGTTAGTATCACATATGCCTTTATTCTTGTAATCAGCCAGACAGCCTATGTAAAGGGAGAAAAGTAGCCACGCTCTGCTGTTCGGCACCATTGTGTGTACCGCACTGAACATTGACCAGGGAAAGCAAAGAAGAGAGTTATCCGAGGAGATAAGAAAGAACATTATAGCCAGCATGTCAAACGTAAAGGCGATTAAACCCTCTCCAAGCAGCGGTTACTGTGACTACAATGTCAGGTAGCCTGTGTTAATGTCAGGCAGCCTGTGTTGCTGGCTGCAGTTTAGTCTTAATCAGGTATGGACTAACTAATCCAGCCATATTGTTCAACAGCCTATGTTACTGGCTGCACCTCTGTCCTAGTCAGCTGTGGACTAATGCATCTGGCAACACAGCCACAGCTCTGGGACTGGTCTAGTTTCAGGAGGTGCTCTATTTAAGCATCACTAACCTGTGCCACAGTGCTTGTGATGGCTTCCTGCTACCTTGCTCCAGTACCCTTGTTTTGCCAGCCTGTCTGTTGGATTCCCTGTTACTGCCTGCCCTGGCCTCAGAACTGTCTTTGGAACTTGCTTTGCCTGCCTCAAACTGTCTTAGTTTGTTGCCTGCCCTGACCTTGGACTGTCCCTGGAACACACTGTACCTGCTGTATGCCATGACCTCAGAACTATCTCTGTAATATGCTTGCTTGCTACCTGCCCTGACCTTTGTATTGTCTCTGGATCACGCTACCATCTACCACTTGCTCTGGCCTCCACCAGCCTACTCTACAACAAATACACTACAGACTACTCCTTAGTTGTGTGACGCTCTGCACCTGACACCTCAAACACCACAGGTAATCTTTCCCTTTTCCTCCAAACAGTTCAGGAGCTAATCTGGCCAGAAACTATAGCACTGTGTAAAAGGATTTGGGGCAACCAAATACTGGTAGGCCAGCGTGCCTTATGGGAACAGGGGCCAGTATAAGCAAAATATATACCCACTAGCTATAATTTTTGAACTTTGATATCAGGACAAGTGTGACATACAATTGGAAATATTATCAAGAAACGTATGGTCCATAGGAGGGTAAACA